TACTTAGATATTTTATGGAATAGCAGCTATTTCGCACAAGCTAAAATTCAAATCCAGAAACCGTAATGGCCTCGGCAGCTATCGCCTCAAGTCTAATCCTGTTGGGCGTGCTGAGCTCGCTCGCTCATAATCAGCTGAATAAAGAATCATTGTTTCGAGCCATATAGTAAGTCAGTACTATCGTGAACCAAAGGCTGATTATAATAATCACATAGCTGCGTGAGTTCCTCTGAATTACGCGGACGCAGAAAAGATTTAATCCAGGAAAAGCTGATAACTTGACTATGAAACATTGTGTGGTTTTAGTTGACTTCCCTCATTCGCTAAACATTTTGAAAGTACTATATTTGAGTTCATCAAATGGAAAACTCCATGACGGTGCGGCGCGTCCTGTCGTCAGGGGTAGAAGTGTCTGGGTGCCACGATGGCACTCAGCAAACACCAAAGTAGACTTGATGCAACGAGGTGGTAATACTCAATACACCAGAGGAATCTCGTAATAACCCCATCCACATCGTTAAGTCCGGAGAATTGTTGTTTTGTTTATCTCTTGCGGAGACGAAACGTACGTCAGGATTGCTAGCAGACTGATCATCAGACGATATAACATTAGTCAAAGCGGCTGAAAAAGTTATTAACTGCGCAGTTACAAAACCAAATTATGAATTGCAGCTGAGTACGAAGCGCAAAGGATAAAGCGAGAAGTGAAAATGACATTGGCCATACTGATAACATACTTAACTGTGCTTCGACATACGTAAATATTAGTACAAATAATAGTACCGATAGTAAACGAGGCAATAATAATAGTAATAATAATGATGATAATAACAGTAGTAATAAATAATAACAATAATAATGACAAAGATGTACAAAATTTCAGTCATCTCTGTTAAATCTCTTAAAATCGAGCACCCCGAACGGCCGAATTCACACGTGTTTTTTGGCACAGTCTTGCACCGGACGCATCCAGACCGCACATCCAAACGTGCAAAATATCCAGAAAGATGTGGTGATTGATGGATTTTCGATGCGCTCTTTGTTCACTGCTCCTGACGGTAATTTTTTTTTTTTGTTATTAATTTTAAGTGTTTCTTCTCCCTACCGGTGCAGGCAGGGCTGTTTTTCGGACTTTCTCATCCACTTAATCTCACAGATGCGGTTTGAATAGATCCACTGCACTGACAGCCGTTTCTGCATTCTTCTAACACAGCGTGGGTGCCAATTTTGCAAACCGTTTTGTCCATCTGTTGTCTCTCATTCTTGTTAGTACTTCTTCCTGGTGTACACTGCTCTGATATATTTTAAGCGTATCTGTTCATCCATTAGAACTACGAAAATGCAGTTTAGTATGCGTTTACTTACCTAACAAGATGCTTCTTGGTAGCTGAGAGGATTTCAGCACATTTGCTCGATCATAAATGAATGTTTCAGTATATAACTGGTTCGAAATATTCCAAGCGTAAATGGATTCTTGAAATTTCGGAAAACGAGCTGTTATTTTATGGATCTGATAACTTAAAAAAAAATAAGACACTTTTTGTCATCTTATTACCATTCCCGTCCATTTCAATAGCTAATTCTTCTGTTTTAAGATCAGGAAAAAGGAGGAGGGAGACGAAAAGCTCCGACCGTCCGAATAAGGCAAGACGGAAGGAAAGAGGAGCAATAATTTGAGTTAATTGGTCTTCTTTTCTAGATAGAATTTTGCTATCAGCGGATTACCGACAGCTGGAAATGCGAGTGCTGGCACATTTGTCCGAGGATGCGAAACTGATTTCACTGCTCCAAAAGGAAGGTGATTTCTTCCAAACTGTCACAGATGCCTGGAATGCTAGCAGCGCAGTGCTAAATGAAGTTGATCGAAATAAAGTAAAACAGGTTTGTTAACTGTTAGGCTTTGTGGTAGAAACTAAAAATGTGTTTTAAAAAAGTTTTGAGAAATAAGCCAAGAAGGCCTCCTGGGCAACCAGCGTGAATAATCCATGTTAGTGATGTTACTGGGATGCTCCCACGTGAAGAGCGCAGCTATGCCAGGTCCTTCGATCCTGAGATACATATCTACGGCTTGTCGACCATTTCGTCAGTGCTGCTCCAGTGGTCATTTACGTTCTTGCGGATACAATTACTAATACACGACATCCACCAGTGAGCAGGGTAAACAGCTTGCTTTGCCCTTCGGATTTTGTTTCTTGCATGGTCACAGTGGTATCCTGCACGCCGCTCATCTGACGAAGAGTCTGATCTCAGGTCACGAAAAGACACGCCATCCTTCGTTCCACCGTTGTCTCTAATTACGAATGAAAAGAAATAGTTATTATCAAAAAAAAGCGAAAAATTAATAAAATAGAGAAGTTCCCGAAATAAAAATCATGAAATTGCAAATTTATGCAATGTTTTTATTTGTAAATTCGTAGGGTTTGTGGGTTTTCAGAAGTTGGTAATTTGTTTCAGCTTTGTTATGGTATTTTGTACGGAATGGGTGCAGCTTCGCTGGCAAAGCAGTTATCCATGGAAAAGCATGAGGCGCAGCAACTGATTTCGTCATTTTTTCAACAATTCCCAAGTAAGTTATTAATTTGAATGTATAATTTGGCTTATTCTCATTTGTGGCAAATTTTGAGAAGTGAAGAGTGTAAAAGTTGGAGGGTATTTTAGTCTGAAACTCAATAATACCCTCTTAAAAGTGGGGCCGTGGTTGAACTCACAAATCTGTCAAAAGTGAGGTTGTATGTATTTGAATGTTGTGGACTCCCCCTTTAGCTTTCTTGGCAAAGGTAATCATCAGAAATCTTTTTCGCAGATCGATGCTACTAGATATCATTGCTTAGTTTCCACTAAAAATCCTTGAAAAATCAAAAGGCCACAGTGGAAGAGGGCGAACGAGAAGAGATGGTTACGGGCGGGAGGGAGAGGGAAAGAAGTGATTTTAATTCGTGAGCTTCCTAATGTAAGTTTTGCAGAAGTACGAGCATGGATTGACAAAACGCTGAAAGCATGTCATCAGGATGGGTTTGTATGCACTTTACTAGGTCGAAGACGATATTTGGCATGTATTACCAGTGAATTACAAACGGAGCGTGCTCAAGCTGAAAGACAAGCAGTTAATTTTTGCATACAGGTAGATTTACACTCGGGTGTTTTGTGTCTCATTACAGAATTAAGATAATCGAAGTACAGAATTTTAATTAAAAAGCAGAACTAATTAAGATTCAAAATGCTGTATTTAAAAAATTGACTTTACGAGGGGAAGAGAGGGAATTGAGGTAAAAGTTTAAATTTGAAATCGGAAATTTTTTCTTGCAATTGACCATCTTTAACAGTGTTTTTGA